CCACAGAAAAACCTACCTTTGTGTGTGGGGGTCTCTGCTCTCACCACCTTTTGAATTCAATCCCTGTTACCTACGGACATCGACTCAAGCCCACAACATTGGCAGCTGCGGAATCAGATGTCCAATTGACTTTTTTTGTTGTTGGAATAGAGAGTAATCAAGATTTGGGCATTTTTAAAATTTATTTTTTAATTCTTTTATTCTTTAAACTGAACTCAATTTAGAGGCACGGTTCTGATTTTAAAAATGTGTGTGGTTAAGTGATTATTTTTTCTCCCCTCAAATTTCCATGGGAAACAGTATATCTAAACCTCTTCCTTCCCCGGATTTTAACTTTTTCCTCTGACTTCTTGTTGGAGTTCGATGTTCTTGAGAAAAGCTTACTCACTGTAGCCAGAGACCCGAGTCCTCGGGGAGTGAACACAGGAGATGTTTGGTGGGAATCTATCTAGCCACTAGCCTTGCCAGTTGGTTCCTTGGCCATATTCTTAAAATAGAAAAATGACCAAGTATAGCTTTGCCAGGACGACATTTGTTCTAATCCAGAGAGTGTGTTTTTAAGTGTTTGAAGGGCTCTACCGCAGGAATCTTGGTGGCACCAGCCAAGATGTCTGAGGCCCAAGGATGGCAAACCCCAGTGACCATCCAGTGCTCATGGGGGGATTCCAGACAAATAGAAGCTGGGATTTGGACATGTCTGGGCAGGTCTGCTGACTACAGAGGGCAAGCATGCTTGGAGTCTATTTACATAACAACTTTTGGCTGAAGTAGGGTTGTGTTGTGCTGCGAATGGAAAGTGGGTGGGACCAGCAGAAATGCGTCAATCTTGGGAGCTAGGTTCTGAAAAAGTAATCTCCTTGAACAAATGAGCCTCATCAGGCAACAGGCTTCTTTCTGACCTGACAATTACATACTCTGTATCCACATATTTGATAACTTGGAAACACTCAGCTTCTACCCTCTTTAGTGATTGATCTACAGCCTGGTGCAGAAATTTTAACTAAAATGAAAGAATATTGATTTTTTTTTAAAAAAAATTTATTAGCAAGAATTAAGTTGGGTGTATGAATAAAAAGATACAAGTCACATTTCGGGCTTTGGAAAAGCTGACAGGTGATTTCCCTTTTATAAAATTTCACCAGAAATAGTATCTCTATTTTTTGAAAATCATATGTGTTTGCTATAGAACTTAGAATTGTTAAGTTTTGTTAAATACCAACACGGACACAATACTTTAAAAATTATATTTACCCTTCCTTCAAAAATTGTTTATGTTTCCCCTTCAGGTCTCAACTGGTATCAATTCTCATTTATTATTTTTTTTCGGGTGATAATCACAGTAGCATTTTTTTAAGCTAATAGTAATCATTATACTAGGGAAGGAAACTTCTTTATGGTTGTTTTGTGGTGCCAGCCACTGAAAACAATGCTTTATACACACACATCTCCAGTCTCTTAGTTCTCGAGGCATTGCTGTGAGATCAATGCTTTCACTATCTTGACTTCAGAAATGAGGAGATCGAGACCCAGAAAGGCTACATGAGTTGAGTGGTTCCCTTTGTGTGGCAAACAGTGAGGAGAGCAGCAACGTGGGTATTTGAGACGTTTTACTCTCATTTCTAGGAAGAGGTTGAGTCTCCGTTTGGTAAGTTGATTTTTCAGGACTTCTCTTAGTGCCAACATTGTATATTTAAGTCAAATTACTGACTCACTGGGTATTGTTTTCTAGGCCTCTTGTCATACCATGTAACACACACACACATACACACACACACACATATGTATATATGCATATGTATATGTGTATATTTTAAATTACACTTGTTTGTGTGTTGATGCTCTCTTGCCAGGGAGTGCATGTATACAGTGGTAAGAGGGCCATTTCTCAGGGTCAGTTCTTCTCTTCCACCAAGCTGGTTCCAGGGATCAAACTCAGCCCATGAAGCTTGGCTGCAAGTTCCTGAAGCCTTGGGTCATCTCACTGCGGGTTGCCATGAGTTTTTATAAAATGACTTTGTATTTTATTTGCTCTCTTGGAGAATGGGTAGTTTTCTGCTGTATACCTTCCCTTCCTGAGATTTTTTTTTTTAAGTTTTAAGCTTTCATTTGTCTTTTTTTTCAAGCGTACAGGAAATTTGCCAAAAATAATAGCACTAAAATTTCTATGGCTTTTACTGTGACTTGTCTGTTGGCAACAAACTCCCTTCATCTTTTTGTACTGTCTTCCAATATGCTAGATATGTAGACTATGATAAAACAGAGTTCTTTAAAAGCCCCTTAAAGATTACACATACATTTTGCTCTTCCCCAAGTACTTCTATCTTTTATGACTGTCTTTTACATAGTTGAAATACAGTAATCAGTTTTAGCATACTTAGCATGGATACAGAACTTTTCATGGAAGACTATTCTGAGTCTGTGCCCTGTAGCATTTCTCTCTTAGGTCCAGTACAGTCTTGCAGGTGTCCTTTAGTTATCTTGTTGGAGAATGATTTCAATTAGCACAGATTTAATCTTTCAGGAACCATATTCCATATAGTCCACAAAAATCTAAATTTGAGTGACATTTGACAAGAGGTGGACTTTTGACTGATTTTTTTCTTTTATATTTTGCAATTCTGAAAGATTAGGATGTATGTCAAACCAATATTAAAATCATTTTCTAGCAACTGTTTCTCTTAATAGTGTTATTAGTAGATAAAGTTTAAGTTCCATAGTTTCAAGTCATAGTTGAAATTCCAAAAATATAATAATATTAATCTTTAAAAAGAGATGTCTAGAGATGGGCATGTAACTCAGGGGTGGAGTGCTCATTCACAGAGTTCTTTTCTTCCTCTTTTTTCTCTGTGGGTAGGGAGTGCTAATGAAGCTAATGAAAGAATAGTGGGAGGTATGCCGCTCTGAGAAAAAACTTGAGGTACGGGTATCTGAAAGAGGCACAGTTGATACTGACAACTCTAGAACACAATTTTATATACATAACCTGGATGCTGTTTAAAAGGCAAGTAGTCCGATTTACCAGTCTCGCTCGCAGAGAGGTACACCATGCCTGTTAAGTGTGATGTTTTTACCTGATTGCCAATGCAGCTTTAAAGGTGTGTAGCATCCCAGGGTGAAGCCACAAACCTACCTCAGGAAGGGCCATGAAACTGTATCTGGCCAGTCCTCTTTAGAAACTTTCCCTAGTGGAAGCCAGGAGCTTGTCTGCCCTGGAGGATTTAAGAGCCTCTCCTTCTTATGGTTAATAGCATCGGTTAGATTTCTGCACCTGTTTCCCCTTTTCCTGGGAATCTGGGAGACAAATTCTCTGGGCTCCTTGTTCCAACCTAATTTCTTCTTAGGTGACTAGTTGAGAGTCAATGGTCTCTGATGGTAATTTTTAGTAATCACTCATAAAGAGAAAGGGATAAACGTTAGCAACTAGGATCTAGGTATTTGAAAGAGTGTTCTCGTTCAGCACTGGGAATATTGGTTGCTTTTGGCTCTTCCCTCCTAGTTTTGTTCACTTCTTTCCAGCTGACACTCTCTGACGTTTTAAACATGCTTAGGTTTGGAATCTGAGGCACACAAGGAGCTAGAAGCCTGTGGTCACGATTTACGTATTCCTGTGTATTACAGAGACCATTGTGTCTGCCCTCAAATATTGTTCTGAGGCTCTTCCATGTAGTGACAGGTTTTCTCCTACCTGGTTATCATTCACTGTGGATCACAGACATCATGGTGGAAGTCATCTCCACTCTCATCTTACCAGTATTCCATTACTATCCTGCCCATTTCAGTACCTGTAACTGAAGTTTTGACTGTGCTTGTCAAGTGTGTATCAGTCTGTTTCTACTCTTCCTTGTGATGCACAGCATTGGCATTTTTATCTTAAAAACAATTTTTGTGCATGTCTGTGTGTCTGAGTGTGCACACATGCATGCAGGTGTTCACTGAGGCCATAAAGACCATCAGATCCCCTGGAGCTAGAGTAATAGGCAGCTGTGTGCTGGGAATTGTATCCGGGTCCTCTGGAAGAACAGCAAGTGCTTTTAACTACTGAGGAAATTCTCTAGCCAGTGTTCCTCTTAAACACTAGAAAACATGCTTTACTTAGATGAGTTCAGTGGGCTACAGTGGGCTGATGGCTGTGACAAGACAGCTAGGACTAGCAATGAGAAGGTGTTCATAGGGATACACACAGTATATATAGTTTACACATACTGTACATGTAGTAGAGTAAACATAGTATAGATGTACCTCAGGGAAGAAGTCACATCTGCAGTGGCTGTTGACACATGCCTGTCCTGTAAAAGTGTTGGATCTCTGATGCTCTTAATTTTAAAACTCCACCTTTATATCTCTCTCTATATGGCTGGAGAGATGGCTCAGCAGTTAAGAGCACTTACTACTCTATCAGAACACTAGGGTTTTGTTCACAGCATTCACAAGGCAGCTCACAACTGTCTGTAACTTCAGGCAGAATTAAACCCACGCAAATAAGGTAACTGTAAAAACTGATTTATGTATGTTTCCTTCTTGTGTGTATGTCATGGACATGCCTGGTGATAGATTCTATAGAACTGAAGTTAGTAGACGATTGTAAGACATGTAGGGTTTGGGAACCAACCCTGGCTCATCTGTAAGTGCTCTTAACTGTGGAGTCATCTCTCTAACCCCAATTTGTAACTTAGATTTTTTTTTTTTTACTTTTTAAAAAGGTGTGTGTGCGTACACACACACATTAGTGTAGGTGTCCTCGGAGGCCAGAAGAGGGCACCAGATTCTTTGGAGCTACAGGAAACCAGCTTAGGTCCTTTGGAAGTGGATGGACTACACACTCTTAACCTCTGAGCCACCTTTTCAGCTCTAGGTGATTTGTATTTTACCCACTTTACAGCAGCTACTGCTCTTGGCACTTGATCAGTGGTCACTATATCCCTATATCATGTGCATTTTTTTTTTATTCAAAAGCCAAAATAAGTTACTTTTCATTGACAGGAACTGACACCATTGGCTTTTTAATTTTTTTTTATTTTTTCACTCATCTTTTATTTACAAATACACATTATAACTTTTATATACATTGCACATTTACATGGTAGAAAAGTACAAAACTATATATTTAAATGAATTTATATTTAACTTGCCATGTTTGAAAATATAAAATTGCATCAGAAAAAAGTATTATGAAAAGCAAGAAACTTGAACTGATAAAGCTTTGATGGAATTTTAGTGACACATTGGTTGAAAAAGAACTAATTGGGAAGGTACAGCCGACTACCTCAAAGGAAACAGTGAATGACAGGTTGGAAGGGTAACGATCACCTTCCTTTCGTCTCCTGACACCCCACGTCACTATGTCTTTGGATCTGCAACATCATAAAAGTACATTTCTCGACTCTTAAAGCCTCTCATCCTTTCTCACAATGTTTTCACCAGAACAAGGGCCCGGAAACAGACGTTCCTTCCGAGACGCATATCCTCTGTACCTTGTATCTGAGGCAGAGTTACGATGCCTTTTGGTCAGTCAAGATTCCTTGTAAACAGAACCCGAAGGATCAGGTATGTACAGAGTAGGCAGCTGAGAATCCAATAAATAAACATGACAGAAACTGACATGCAAATTTGTTAAGAGGTGGAAAAGAATCTAACAGTAGTGAAATGAAGGGAGACAGATGAGTGAGTGGGTCAAAGGAATGGACTTCAATGGTTTATGGGGGGGGGACGGCTTTACTTTACAAGCAAGAGACCTCACAATAAATAACAACTGCTCTTCCTTTCACGAATAAATTTCTTCAAAAACAAGGTGTACAGTCAACCAGACATTTTATGTATAAATTATAAAACATGACACAGTATAAATAAACGTCTACAAGTCTCAACTATAGGCCTCATCCAGTAGACCACAAAATAACAATCTCTCCATGCCCAGTGAGTAACAATGTGGCCTGGGAGAGAGCGTTAGGACAAAGGCCCTTTCATGTATAGTTTTCCCCCCAAATAAATAAGCATACACTTATTTACATTATGGACAATATAGTTTTTCTTTTTCTTATTTTCTTGTCTATCTTTTTTTTTTTTCCTTTTTTTTCCTTGCTCTTGTTGTGTTCTGTTTTGCCCAAAGGCTATGTCAACACTGAACACTGGAGGAGCGTTTACCACTCTAGAATGGAAGAGATAGGAAAGCTGTAGTCCTGGTCTTCCTCCTCCTCCTCTTCCTCCGTATCTTCCGAGATGGCTAGATGGGGGAATACAGGGGGAGCTGTTGTTTAAACACGGATAACAACAGCGCAGAAGCAGCTCAGTGTACGTTTTCAAAGCCCTCTGATACAGCCGCATTACAGCGTTGCATTTTTACACGACTTGCAGTGTGATGCTTTTTTTTGTTGGCATCTGCAGTTACGCAATAAGTTTACTTAAACACACACAAACAAACCACCATAATCTATGAAGTCAAAATTGCAGAAAGTTCTGGAGAATCAATGGCTCAGGTTTTACAGGCAGATTCCTGAAATCAGATAAAAAGCGCTCTTGTGTTCTAGGTTTAACTGCTTTTCTCCTTAATTCAGAGTTAGTAGCCGCAGCGGCGATAAGCCGCAGCCCAGGTGTGATAATACAAAGCTGTCTTTGAAAAAAAAAAAACCCCACAAACTTTTGAAGCAGTTAGTTTAGATTCCAGTGTTAATGAGGCAACAGCAAAGCAAAATACTAGGAGGGAAGAAGGAGCATCAAACAGCTGGAGAGCGGTTTTCGGAGGCCACCCAATGGGAGGCCATCAGGTCGATCCTAAAAAGCCAGGAAACACTGCAGAAAACTGGGCTGAGGATCAACAAATTGCTGGTGATTTAGCAGCTACCTAGCTTTACCAGAAACAGGTTTACACAGCAAGGTCTGTGTCCATTCCCCAGGGTTGCCTGGAAATGCCTTAAAATGGCAGCAAGGTTAGAAATCACACTTACAGTTGCAAGATCCGGTGTGCTTCACCTCAAGCAACACGCCAGAGGAGCAGGCGGCTTCTTTCATGGCACACTCGCTGGCGTACGTGGCATTGTCACTGGCGCAGACTGGCTCATCCGACTTACTCTCAGGGCAGAGCTCATCACAGAGAGAGCAGCGGCCTCGGCCAACCTTGAAATCCCACAGGCATTTTTTCCCACTGCCACACTGGATGTCTTCACAGGACTTTGCTTCTAGGATATAATACACCTGTGATGAGCAAACTGAAGGGTCTCATTTCCTCCCTTTTCCCCTTTCCTCCATTCCCTACTCAGAGATGCCCATATTATACATATTATCACTTACTAAAGGGGGTAATGAAGGTGTTCTATTACAATCATGCACACACACACACACACAGACAGACACACAGACACACCGTGGTTTCTCACATCTTATAGAACTGCATTAAATACCATATTCTTTGGAACAGAATTTCACAATACCCTTGAGTTAAATATGCATCTGATTATTTTCTATAAGTGGGATTAAAAAAAAATCAGATTCCATCAATTACTGGAATCTGATAGCAGGTTTTAGGAACTGTTAAGTAATTATTTTTCGCTTCCAGCAAGTCTGGCACTTTAAAAAAATGTGTAAAATTGTGTGAGCTCTAAGTTTTCTGAGATAGAAAACTGTTTTCTGCTTCTAGCTGGTGGCGTCAACGCCTCTAGCAGACAAAGGTGCCTGAGGAGAAATGTTTTGGCTAAACAGTTTTCACCCAAACTGAGGACTTGGATTTACTCATTGAAGGGCCCCACACAATTACAACAGATTTTTTTTTCCACTCCCGTCTTTTTTCTTTCTTCAATCCAGAATACCTACTGATACATTTTCCCTCATAGGCTAATCCAATCGATCTGCCCAGCAAACAGGTGGCCTTTCTCAGGTGGCAGGCACTGGAGTAAGTCACTCCATCATTCCCACACAGGTACTGCTCAGAGGAGGAGGGCTCTGGGCAAATCCGATTACAGGTCACACAGTAGGCATTGTTGGTCTGGTCTACCACACAGGTGGAGCTGCCTGGACAGAAAACATCCCGGCAAGTCTCTGGACAAAAAATAAAAAGAGGGAGACATTTCAGTAGGCCCTTCTGGTCCTTAGGGAGTAAACGCTTGATATTCTGAAGGAAATCATTAAAGCAAAGCATCCAGATTTTAACAGGCATTTGGGGAGCCCGGCTGTTTTCCAGAGGATCTGTGACTCCAGGCTGGCTCCTTCATTACCCTTTTGGAATCAGAAAGGAGCCCCCTTATTTGGCATTACTATTCTGATTCCCGGGCTCTTTATGGAGGCTGTACTATCCCCCTTGGGTCTTCAAGGGTCTAGGAATGTATAAGATACTGAAGGGTGGGACCTACTTTTACATTTGCCCTGATATTGAACTTCCAGTTCCGGCTGCTCTTTACATCTGGCCTTGAGGAGTGCACATTCGTTGCGGTACGTTTTCCCATCCAGCCCACACACTGGACCCTTCCAGGTGATGTTGGAACAGTCCGGGGCACAGACGCAGCGGGGTTTATTCTTCTTGTTCATGCGGCATTTTTTCCCGGGGCCGCAGTCCACATTCTCACACGTTTCTAGGAGTTGGAAAGAGGGAGGGATTCAAACCAAGGCCAGGCAGTTGGCCGGTCAGACGGGGGTGGGGTGGGGTGGTGGTCTCAAATGCCTTGCGCAATCATGCATCAGAGATGGAGGGCCCCAGGCTGTCTACTGGAAGACTGGAAGGGATGGGGGTTGGGGATCTCAGGCCATGTCCTGTATCCAAATTCTCTCAAAGACCACACTGGTTGGCAGCTTTCACTACACTACCACACTCAGCTAAGAAGCCTGGGGACCAACCTCTTCCGACCTTGTTTTGCCTGCAGCGCGAGCTGGATTCCACCTAGCTAACTTCACCGGGGGAAACAGGGAGAAACCGAACAAAATTCTGCCAGTCCTCAGCCCCAGTCAGGCAGTGGGAACACTGAGGGCAAGACGCCCTCTACTGAGGGCCTGCCGCCTAGGGAAGAGGAGGCCCACCTTTACAGGGGATGCAGTTGGGGGCGCCCCCGTTGAAGATCATCCACTTAAAGAGAGTATTGTCGTTCACATCCTCCTCGGTCCACGAGGTGCTCAGACGGCCGGTACTGCAGCACTCTTCTTTGCTCAGTTCTGTCTTATACAGGACCTGGCAGCGGCCGTTCTTTGCTTGGCGGAGCCAGCAATTCCCAGCTGTGAAGAGACAGGGATCAGGAGGTGACTGAGTGAGCAGCGGGGTAGGGGGCGGAAGGCTGCTGGAGCCCGGCAAAGAGGCCTTGGTGGGAGACCAACCGATCGATGAGGGGAGGGGGGGGGAGAGAGAGAGAGAGAGAGAGAGAGAGAGAGAGAGAGAGAGAGAGAGAGAGAGAGAGAGAGAGAGAGATCTCCAAAGGGAGGGAGGGGAAAGACCCATCACCGAGGTGGGAGGTGGGTTAGAGCCGCCGCCGCAGCGCGCTAGCCATATCAATGTCGGTTACCAGTGACCCAGACACAACACGTGCAGCTTGCATTGACTTTTACTAGACTGTTTACTTTTATTCGTCCCATTTCATAACCTGCAGCGACTGGAAGAACAGATTAAAGAACCTGACAAAAACAGGATGCGACGGATGTTTTTACATGTTGGTTTCATGTAGGCGGTAAGAGAATTATTTGTGACAGGGGTTAAGAAAGTAGAGAGAGGAGACGTGGAAGGGAGGGAAGGGAGGGAGCGAGGGAGGGGGTAAGGAGAATGAATATGAATTTTTCAGAAACAGATCAAGCAAAAGACACTTGTGAAAAAATGAAAGCAAAAAAGCAGCCGGGCCCAGCCTGGATCTGCCCTGTGCGGCCTCGAGGCGCAGCCCGCCCGACGGGCCCGTTTTGCAATCGGCCAGCCCGGAGCACGCCCGCAGCCACCAAGATCTTTCGAAATCTCCGAGGGCTGCTTTCCCTGGCGCCCACGTCCGGGCACTCAGGCAGCGCCCCTATCAGAAAGGCGGGCTGCCCAGCCTAGTGTCGGGCAGACGGCTAGGGCCAGTGCCCGGGAGGGCAGCTTACAACACACAAAACCTTACCGCTCTAACAGGCAAAGCAGCAGTGCTGGGGGGAGGGAAGGTGTCCACCGGGTCACATATACCTACCTCATGTCTACCAAGAACTCTTTGCTAATAGTTTCCTCCCCTAACCCTTTCTATGGGTTCGGACTTTGGACAAGAAGACTTCTCACGAATCACCGAAGTGACTCGAGCAACTGGGGCGCAAGCTGCCCGATCACCACTATTTAAAAAAAAAAAAATCCTGCCCGGAGACTAACTGTAATAAAACAAATTCATTTTTAGAATTTTAGAAGCCAAACTTCAAGAAATGTGCTCTTTAATCCACGTCAGAATTTAAATCGCCCGTGGACTGCTTCTCGTTCCACAGAAAGTTAACAGGACGAACCAGGCAAAGTGGAGAAAACGGCAAAGTCCTTAAACCACTTCGGGGCTAATAACTTGACTTGTCCCTTTTCTTCTCCTTTTTCGCGGGGCTTAGGGAGAGGGGTGGAAGGAGCATCCACCAACACTACCTCCCTTTAAAAATCTCAGTACCCACATTTCCAAGTTTGGGCAAAGTTTCTGAAACCACGTCCCCCAGCCACCCAAGAAAATTCGGTATCTCCCATCCCCCACCCAAGTCATTTAAAAAAAAAGTCACCAAAAGATATGGAAGGAAGATAGGCTAGATTGCTAGGAAGTCGACTGTAATCTCCAGGCGACGGATGCTAGCCCTTCTCCTGAGCCAACCAGGAGACATAGCATCTAAAGTCATTATGACCAGAACTTGGAGCATCTACCCCTAACTAGTGAGATTCCAGCTCACCCACTCAGGCCCTTTCCTTTTGGAGGATAACCCGGCTCTAAACTCTGTTCTCTACCCTCAAGTGTCACTGCTTCAGTCCTTTCCCCCTACTCCCGGAGTAGCCGAGTGATTCCAGCGTCTTCCGAGAGCAGCGTCGGTCAGAACAGACCAAGTCGAGACGACAGAAAAGTAGAACCCCTGCCCCAGCCGAGCCTCCGGGCGCATCCCCCTCCACTCACCCTGGGCGCTGCGGTCCTCCATGAACTGGCAGAGTAGCAGCAGCAGGAGGCAGAGCCCGCCGGGCTGGTGCCTGGCGCAGACCATCCTGGGGCAGGCGCAGGGCGAGGAGCGCGGCGGCGGGTGGCTTGGGCGGGCGCTCTCCGTCGCAGAGGCGAGCGGCGGATCCGGCTCTAAACTCTGTTCTCTACCCTCG